TGCATGCCAGCTTACAGGGCTCTTTGATGCAGTGAACTTTGAAAATTGACTTAAAGGAGCAGAGGGAATGGGGAGGCAGCATTAATATCAGGAAAGGATGTCTGGGCAGGGTAGATGAGTGCAATCAGGTATGTGAGGGAATAGATTGGGGGGCTGGATGGATGAGCCGCTGGGGTCTAGCAAGTGGCAGCTGGAGGTAGTGGAAGGAATAGAGACAACAGAACAAGGGGTAACTGCACAGCCATACCCTAGCCCAGCACCTCTCCTGACTGGCAGGAACAGTAGTGTATCCTAAGAGAGACGGAGGCCAGATCTTGCAGGCTGTGAGCAGACAGCCATCCCCTTGGGAGCTCAGGATGAAGCCCAAATCCAGTATAATGAGCACAGCAGACCTCTGCTATCCCAGCTTGCACTGTAAGGAAACTGGAACAAACCTCTGAAATAGAATGAGATTAGCAAAGCGGTTAAATTATTCTCAGCTAATAAAGTGCCCACTCCAGATGGGTGCAGGAATGAATGCTGTTAAAGAGAAGATTCTGGCTAAATTACGAGATTTGAGGCTAACACTCTTAATTCAGGCCCAGAGGAGCCTTGGCCAGAGGCTTTGGTGGGGGCTCCAAACCTGGAGTGGTCCATGGACAAAGTATGTCAATCTGGCTTCTCCTGCTCTATTGGGATGACAGGTGCATATCATCACTCTCCTCCTACCCATTACTTTTAAGCTCAGAAATCACCAACTTCCCATTCTTCACTCAGCTTGCTGTTCCCAAGAGCAGCACTCTTACATCTCTGCTTCCCCTTCTCTTGCCCAGAGCCATCCTAGCCCATTCTTCCACCTGACCCCTGCCTTTGACTTCCTTAGAGGCCACACAAGCACTTCCATGGCAAAAGCCACCCTTGAATTGCAGACACAGGTTTAATTGACAAAACACTTCCCTTTTTACTATGGGACTTAGCTGAGTTAAACACCCAGGCATATCCCTGCTGGTAACTGCCTCCTAACTGGATAAAGAAATAGTAGTGGTTTCTGTTTATTGAGAAATTTCCTCTAAAAGAATTGGAGTATTAAGAAAACCCTGAATTTGGTTCTAATTTTCTGACCTGTGCAAAATCCTATGCAAATCCTTAAGTGTGTGTGTATATGATCCCTGACCAACAAACAGGAGAGGGTTAGCCTTTCCAGGTCATGTTTTCTACAATGATTCTGCCTCCCCTGCTACCACTCCCCCACCACCCTCTCCCCCCATCACTGTCACACACATCCTACAGCACCTACCCATTTGAATTTCTGAACCTCTGACTGAACTCAAACTCTTAGACCTCACCTGATTTGACTCCTGAACAGAACAATGCAAGGCTGGAAGGAGAGAACTATATATAAAATTCCCCTCCACCTCCGATTCACGTGTGTGGGTGTTACAATCCCTGTCAAATGCAAGAGAGCTCTTATTTTATGGGGTGAGTTCAGTGCACATAGAAGAGCTGAGAACAGCACTTTGCATTTCTGGGGCACCTTCCTTCTGTAGATCTCAAAACCTGCTGCAAATGGTGAGGGCTGCCTTTACAAACAGCAGCTACTAATTGTGCTGGAACATAACTACACGTCCAGTTTTGGACCTCCAGCAAACCCTGGTTTTCAGTGCCAGGCATTAGATATCTAATCATCTGTCTGTCGGCACAGTGCTGGAGCCATGTGTAATTAAGGGCATAGGGTTAAGGACCAGCTTGAACCCCAGCTAAAAATTAGGCCTTAATATATTATTATATAATGAGCCTTCCCACTCCCTGAGATATAGATGCCGTACATGTTCTACAAGATCTCACTAGGGAGGAACATGGCAACTCTTTAACTGTGCACCGCAACATTGCCCAACAGCTTAGGACAGGAAGCGAGGAGGAATAGTATTTCCTCTTGAGAGCACGGGAGGCATTATGGGGCAGGATGTTATTACCTGAGCTGGAATCTGGCCAAGGACTGAGCTTTTACAGCACATTGTTATCCCGAAGAGGCTGAGCAAAAATGCACAAGGAAGGAGGGAAATGAGATTGATGCCAACTCTCTTCACAGTATTCATTACGAGGAACTGCTCATGGATTTAAATTCCAAATTACCCTAATGAGATGTATGAGCATCTTATTTGTTTTAATTAATATGAAGGAGGCTCTCAGTGTTCCAGGAAGCGAAGACAGTGAGAAAAGGGAGATGGGGACATTATGAATTGAAATGCCCTATTAATACATCCTCCGTCATTCGAAATGTGATTAACAATCCAAAGAAAAATGAGTAGGAAATGGAACAAGAAAAGCAAATCCTTCCCTCTGCATCTCACATTCAGCTTTCTCCACAGAAGCATTCTCTAAGGAAGACCTAAATGCTGATGGTTCCTGGCTGTCCCATGAGACCTGCCAGCCCAGTTGCTGACACTGTGACACTGGTCCTATCAATAACATACAGAGATAAGTGAGCAGAGAGTGCAAACTATTCAATTACAATAAACTAGACACAAAAGATAATGAAGGTCATTGGCCATAACTTGAAAAGAAGTCTGGCAAACCAGATGGTGTAATCCAGTGGGGACAAACCTTTTTGGCCAATGTGCCACAAATAAGCCACGTACCCTCACCGTGTGCCACTCCAATTCTCCTTCCCCTGCCTGGTCTGTTGCTCTGCTTTCTGCTCCCTGCCCTCTGTTCCCTGCCCTATATGGTGCTCTTCTTTCTGTTTTCTGCTCTATCTGCTGCTCTGCTGCCTGCCCCCTCCCTGATCTGCTGTGTATCACACACACAGGCTGCCCATGCCATTTGTGGCACACGTGCTGCAGGCTGGCCACCCCTGGTGTAAGCAATGGTAATCAGTCACTTCTATAGGTCACTGGCTTGAATTTGTTTGTGGAAATCATTTCCACAGGCTGCTGATATTAAATATATCAGTGGGTTTTTGTGCACTCTTACATGAGTAGGCTACCCAGCCACTAAACCCTTTTATATTGCCCTGATGGTTATACAGAAGTACACATATCTCAACTGGTTTAAGGGTGCAGTTTGGTCTCTATAACCTAACTAGTCTTTAGTGTGTCAATGGACTACGGCAGCCAATTGTGGGTTTCATGATGTTCAGTCAGGACTGAGACCAACCAATCTCTCAAACAACTGTGTAATGGTGAAGAGTTTCTCTCTCTACCAACCAGATGAGGAATCCAATTCCAGTTTCTTAGGTTTCTGGCTGCCTTTAAAAAATAAAAAAGGAATATAAAATTGCTGACAGTAGCCCATATTCCATTTGGGACTGAATCACTAGATGCACAAATTCCAACTAAAGTATTGATGCTGGCAGTTTGGTCCACGGTACAAAGTGTTGCCAAAGTAGTTGTGCGGACAACCCTCCCTGTCTGGACACAGTTATGCTGACAGAAGACAGTTTCTGTCAGCAGACAGGCAGGTGGTGGAAAGAAGCAGAAAGAACAACCCCTTCTGCTCCCATGTCACATCACCAGGAGGGAGTTTGCCCCCGTCCCTCTGCTGACATAGCTGTGGCAGCAGTAGCCCTGTAATGCAGAGAAGCCTGGAATATTCCTTCATCTTTTAAACCCAAGAATCAAACATCAGACCCAGAGGTGTGCTGTTAGCTAAGACTTGTGAGCTAGCTTGTTCCAAATGCCAAGCATAGACAAAGTAGGGTAGACTTGAACATGTGCTAAGCTGAGCAAAATAAAGCCTGGGTTCCTCTTATACATTTAAGGCTGCATTGTTTATGCTAGACCTTTAAATGTGTTAGCCAACATAGTACAGAGCCTTGCTTGCTAGGGCCTGGGAGATGGAACGCCCTGCTCCAATGTGCTTTTTCAGTCTTCCTGCCGCCTGTGATTACCCCATTGCCCCACAAGGCTAGCACTTGCCAGTGTTTAGAGTGCACCATTAAGACACTGTCTTCTGTGTTGCAGAGCTAGAAATGGTTGAATTTGGGTTGTTTATGCATTGGCTTGGAATTGCATTGAGGGCTTTGACAGCGATTGTGTAGGAGCTGTGAGTCAGCGCCAGAGAGAGGAGACTCATATGTCGCATCGCCTTTTGTTCTCCAAACACACAAGCTGGTCAGTCTGCACTGAGAACTGCATGCTAAATGGGATTTTTTTGCAGGGAGTGCATTTTCATTTCCAGGTCATAAACCCCAGAAATCTCTTACAGCATTAGCCAGACCTGATCAGAGCTCATCTTTAGAGTAGGGATTGTAGTTTCCTATGTATTTGTGCAGCACCTGGTACAGCAGGTTTAAGACGTCTAGAAGCTACAGCAATAATAATAATCCTATGTTCCAATTTTCATGTATGCTTGGGCCTAAGCCAGAATCAGGAGATAGACTATCATTAACTTCAGAGGGCTTTTGATCAGGCTGCCTGTTATGCTGTTACAGCAAGGGGACTGCTTCACTGGCTCCTTGTCACTTCTGGAAATGGGACTAAGCTTGCTAAGCCCCCAAAGCACTTTTGAAAACATCACCTGTGTGCACAGAGGAGCTGAGCGGACAAACAGAGACAATCTGTGTGATATGGCAAAGGTCATATGGGGAATTGTGATAGAGCAAGGAACAGAAACCGTGATCTCTTACTTTGATGAGAGGCCTATACTGCCTCTCATCAAAGCCCTGAACTTGTTTAAGCCAAGTAAAACTGGGGCTAGCACTTCTTCTGAGAACAGGGCTCTGCATATTTATACATTAATGAAGTATTGATCAGGGAACTCATTTTCCCAGAGTCTGGAGTGCTTTCTCTCTCATTTGTCAATGCCTATTATATAGGGACCAGAATTACCTAACTATTATATCCATTTAGGTTCTTGCACTTTTCCTCTCCCCTGGGCACCTGGACTGAATGCAGAGCGCGGGTGTTGTCGAAGGCTGAGTAATGAGAATTGATCACTGCCCTTAATTATAGAATTGGGAACAGGGGGAGTGGGGGAGGGAGGGCAGATTGATATTTGAGCATTTGAAATTGCAAGTGGCAGTTCTGCTCTGGGACCCTTCACTGGCTTGGCTGCTGCAACAGAGACTTTGGAACCAAGTTCATATTTCCTCCTTTTAGCCCATTTCATATGACTCCTTTTTAAAGTTAATGTGACCAGTGCATGACTCCAGCCCTGTGCTGAAGCAGTGACTGTCCAGGAATTCGTTTGGCACTTGAGATGAAAGGAAACGAAGATTAAATGTAAGCTATTTGTTCGGTATCACTGTTATGCAATCAGACATCATAGATTAAGGAAGGTGACCTCATGGAGCATGAGGAGGATTTGCTAACATGCTGAAGCAAATATTACAATCCTTGAGATCTGGCACTGCATGAGATGAAGGAGAAAAGGGGAACAACTTGAGAGGGAGCAGGAGAGCTGGAGGCTGCCCTCCTCCCTCGCTGCTCCATGGAATGAGCTGCACAGTGACAAGGCATGGTGGCAC